ACTCATTAACACTGAGATCAGAGGCATCTCTTCTCTCAACCTTTAAATGAATAATATCTAATTTTAGAATAATATCACTTTAAATTACCTTATTTGTTGGTGGTAATTCATAACGTGTTAAGTGCCTTTCTTTTAAAGCCAATAATAATTTCTCTTGACCTTGTAAGACATTGTGTTGTTTCTCTATCAGTTTTGCTGTCCATTTTGCATCATTGCTAACAGACTGAGGGTCAGTATGAGCAAGGTAATGCTGCATGTAGTTCATTGCTTCATTAGTATCACCAAGTAAATACCAGCAAAGAGCTAGTTCTCTTCTATTCCTATCGATATCTTTTTGAAGGTGATCAATACGTAACTTTAGGAACTGCTTGGCCGATGGCAGCCTGTATTAAGATTTAAAAAATAAAACAAGCAAATCCTGTACTTGAGTATGTGATTAAGTAAAGTCCTGGGGCTCCCTTCTCTTTCACTCAGCTCAGAATTCTTTTCTTGCACTCTTCTTTTCTACAATCTTGCTAGCAGTGATCTTATGTCCATATAATCCTCATTACAAGCTAACTGTATTTCATCAGGAGAAAACACTAATGATTATAATGTATTATTTAGAAAAATAAATCAAATCTTACCAGAGGAAGAATGACAGTCTTTCTTTAGTTTATATTTCTTCTTATACGGCTCTTCTAGTACTAATGATGAATCAAGAGGCTGAGAAGGAGATGACCATTACCATTCATTTATGAAGTCTTTTTCAAGCGCCATGACACAGCACGTGGGTAGTCAGTGCAGCCCCACCCCTGCAGGAACAGCTCCGGCTCCTTAGGCTTATCTGATTGGTTGGATTAAAAGCGTAACTATTGGATAACTATAATTGAAAATAATACACACTCACAGATGGGTAATGTCATTTCCTTTTCCAGTAGCAGTGACGCTGTGAAGCCATTTACTCGTCCAGCATCAAGTCACTATGATACATCATCATCATCATCATTAATCTGTTGTAAGAAGAGACGTGTTCGTCCAGCAAATTCTGAAAATCCCACATCACATAAAAAAGTTGATCGTAATGAAATCAGTCGTCATTTGGCTGCTCCTGCTCTATTGCTTGTTAACATAGGATCAGCTACAGAAAGCAACAACAATAGCAGATCTATCAATATCGTAGATCGGCATCTAAACTTGAATGAAAACCCAGCATTTGAATGTAATTCATCTCACAGCATTGCAATGTCATTACAAAGAGAAGATACATTAGTTCAAGATGACAATAGTGCTGTACCAGCTGAAAATGAATTTACATCCCAATGTCTAAGAATCTGGGATCTCGAAGACCTTGAAGGAGATCATTTATCACAAGACAATGAGAATCACTGCGGTACCTTGCAAGAATATAATGTATTAGAAACAATAAAGACTAGTAAAGAGATTGTGCACGTGATAATTTCTGATGATGAAGAAGAACACTCTCTTGCTAAAGATAAAGACACATGCATTAATGGAGTGGAAAGGCCAATAATATTAAAAAGAGATGACTATCTTGAATTGAATCACTGACAAGTGAAGACTCTGTTGATGTATATTCAATGAGCGAAGAGTCATTTGATGTTGAAGCCTCTAACGAAGAGTCACCCGAAGATGAAGATACAGTCTCTCTTAATAATGAGCAAAAAGGTGTGGTAGGGAGAGAGCAAACACTCAAAAGACAATTAAAGAAATTACATACTAATGCCAAGCATCTCAGCAAGGCTGATGAAATCATTGCTGTTTCTGTTTGTGGTCTTAAAATTGAAGAAAAAAAGAAAGATTCTGACAATAAAAATGACATTGAAATGTCTCAATCACTCAGTGAGAGAATGGAATCTTCAAATCTTAATACTAGAGAAGAGGAACTGTCTACTGCTCAGTATGAAATAAATCAAGAGAACACTGATATTATGATTATTGATTTAGAGGAAGA